TGTCGGGGTCGCTCAACTGTCGGTCGCTCAAGTGTCGGTCGCTCAAATGTCGGTCGCTCAGATGTCAGTCGCTCAAATGTCGGGGCGCTCAAGTGTCGGCGCTCAAATGTCGGCGCTCAAATGTCGGTTAATCAGTAAAATGCGTGCCCCAGTCACATCCAGCCTTCAAAGTGGTTTAAACTTTTAGAGAATGTGCACCAATATGTACTGAATATACTCATGTAGCGCCAATTAGCGCCGACGCTTCTGGAAGGTGTAGTAAGATTTCCAAAAACCCTCGGTTTTTCAGCATATTTTCTATTTTTTTCAGTCTAGATTCGTTCAAAATCGAATAAAAAGACCATATTTGGAATCAGCGTAACAAACTACATCGAATGGCGTATAATTATTGATAATTTGGAATAAAACGGTTGAAACAAAATCAAGCGTAGTAAACTACATGTTCTTACAGGTATGCGATTCTAGTTGTCCGCAACGACGTTAAACTACGGGTCCGCAATGACCTTAAACTTTCTTTTATAGGTTGTATATAGCAGCTTTGGAGTGAAGGGTACAGAGGGTTTTGTCGATGCAGAGGGTTACCATTGGAATAGTGAAGCTCATCTCCGGCTTTTTAACTCGGGAAGCAGCTATCGACAATTACTCCGAGGCCATCATTTCTTGTAGAAGTGTACATTCTATGCTCCAGTTATACGTGCAACGGCCGATCATTCAAAGGCAACACCACCAAGACGGTTGTTCAATGGATAATGAAGAATGGTCAGTAGAGCAACGTAGAACGCCACGGACGAGGTAAAGTCGTCTCCAAAGAGAGTCCGACGATGTAACCGGATAGCCTCATTAGGCGTTCAGGACTACCTCTTCTTCGGAAGGTACGTCTGATACAAATTACTAATCGCCCCGGCATTGTCCCAATCGTTGTGTGTCTGAGGTTAATCTGTATTATTGGGGCTGCCCCTATCATGAACCCCCCCACCATTCCTAACCAACTTACCGAGTTAAATAATACGGAGCTGTCATTACACCAGCTATATCAATTATTTTACATCGAGTCTGGCAAAGACCCCCATACAACCATTGACAGAATATGTCAATATGTCAAATCGGACGAAAATCATAAGATAATCGAAGATGTAATTTACACGCACACTGTGCGAAGAAAAAGTGAATAGGACAACTGGCAACGATGTAGCAAGGAACGGCGAGAATTAAGATATCCGAAGATTGTACTAAAGATATCAGATTTACAACAACGACCTAAACCACTTAAACGACAAACCCGCGATTTTTCGGAGGTGGGAAACAGACAGAAAAAAAGAAACTTGATGGATCTTAACGCGGAGTTGGATGACTTCGCTCGAGATAATAATTTGACCGTTAACCATTGTCGGTAGAAGAGAGAGGCTCACTTGTCAGACCTTGCCTTACTTCATAATCATTTTTCGATTTTTCGATCTCACCGTCATCGTTCAATAACTGCTTGTACAAATCCAGAGTTTTAGCCGCAGTGCGGTTTATAGCAAAAACATCTGGATCTGAGATCTTCGTTAGATCTTTCCAGTCTGCTCGTCTCGATGTGCAGAGCAAACAGTCTGCACCACCAAGACCAGACTCCATCGTACGGATCTTTAGATCTTTCATACTGGTTTCGATAATAACTTTCACTTCGTACTTTATACTATTATGTATGAAACCCATATCGTCTTTTCGTAGATCATTTTCTCCAGGTTCGAAGACAGTATTTACGAAGTGCAAAAGATCTTTCGACTCCTTCACAGCAATCAGTGCCAGTGGTCTACACCAGCGAGAACTGTTAGGAGTGTCATTAATCCACAGGACTTCGCCCGAAGCTGCTTTCAAAGACAACGGTACGAACATCTTTGAAAAGATGTTTGCAGTCTCCATGGGTGAATTAACGGACTTATACATAGACATGGAGCCTGCACCATCGTGACCACACTTCTCACGATAAATCAATGACGTGGGCACTACAACATTCTGTTTCTGTAACATTTCAACAAGTCTTTTGATTGTCAAACACACGACATCTTCACGAGATGGAATGAAGACGCCAGTGGGTTCGTAATCAGGTGCCGTTTTCCAGACACATGTTTCGGGTAAGATAGTGTTAGAATACGCTCTGATGTACTTTTCATTTGGAATACTGAGGTATGGACTTAAAAACCTTTTGCAAAAATTCTTGTGATTGGTAGACATGTCCAAATGATTTTTCAAAGCTAAAGTTTTGTCCAAATCTAGTGAACGTTTACTGTCCTCAATATTTTTCGTTTCATATAATTCTTTACCAAGTGCTGCAAGTTTCTTGTTGTCCTGATAGTTGCGTTGATGCAACAAGAAACCCAGCACTTGGTATATAAACGGAGTTATGTGGGTGTTGAAAATTATCTATCACCTACGTAGCTCCGTTTTAAATTGGAGTGAAAGAGGAGATGTGAAAAATCAGATTCAAAAATCGCGAGAATTAGTTTTGAATGAAATTGAGAGTCAGACCGGCCTTCGTTTAGATAAATGTGAAATTACTGGAAATACCGGCTCATCTACTACCGGAGGCTAGGGAAGGCGATTTTTCTCTTTCGAAGTAAGAAAAATAATTGTTGATACAGTGCCAGCGACACACCGACCATCATTTGAAAAGTTCCTCCACTACTACTCCGTACTTTTAAGAATTGTATCATCGACAGAACATATAAATGTGGAAAAATTCCGACAGTTGTCAGTGAATATAGCAACTTTAATTGCGAAGGAATTTTCTTGGGTAGAGTATTCGATGACTGCCCACAGTGTCGTCTTTCACTCGGCTGAGTTAATCTTTCGAAACAATTCTACGGGACTCGGCGAAATCTCTGAGGAGGCACTGGAAGCGACAAATAAGGATGTCCGCAACTTTCGCGAGTTTTTATCGCCAAAGTGCGGACATATTGAGAATATGACCGATGTGTTTAATAGATTATTTCTCAGAAGTGATCCGGTCATAAATCACATTGTACACGACGCCTGGTCGAGACGAAAGAGAAAGAACAAGACAGTGTCATCATGTGCAAATGAGGATGACGCCTTATTTCAGAGTATGATTGCCGATGACGATGACGACAATTAGAGTAGTGCACTACCGCTCCTCTTCTAATTTAAGACACGTTTGCAGGAAACAAAAACGACCAGCACACTAACACTCGACAGGTGTCTATTATTGGAATTTCAGCGGAGAACAGTATTCAGTGATTACTTTTTAGTCTATTTCATTTTTAGTTTAGAGAATTATTTTGTAGGAAATTTCGCTGTACACTCTGCAGAAGATTAGGGACTTGGCTAGCACGATACCAAAGATAGAGCCAAGAGGCGTTGGTGGGTCATAAGCAGAGTAGTGACGAGTTTTCAACCAGTCTTATTAAGATCAGCATGTGAAATAACCTATAGAAAAATCGAACTAGTAATTTACCAAAAACAAAGGCTTTTCCAGAAACCCGGTCTCCAGAAATCCATCTGGAACGGTCTGAAAACATTCGGCACAATTATTTTTGACATCAGCGCACACGAAAACCTATAAACCATAATCTTTTTCCTCAAAGTATTTCGCTCTCTAAAAAAACAAAGATCTCTAGAAAACCCATTATGAAGCGCTTTTGAGTTCTGAAAAGTGTTCCATTGGAAAGAGTATATCAGAAAACCTATAAAAAGAATATTTTCAGTGACGCGGAATTGAAAAAAATCCAATGTCCACGTGCCTATTGAAAATTCTGCACTGTGTATAGATCCACTATTTTCGCCTCGAAAGTTTTCAAACTCAAGTTCTATAGGTAAAAAACGATGCTGAATCTCGCAGGCCTATTTTCTGGGTGGCTAGAGTACTTCAGCAATGGTTTAGCCTGTTAGGTATTAGCTTCTTTAGGGAAAAATTTGAGCTGACTGCTTTTTAAAGCTTTGCTAGTTATCTCTCGAAAAACTTCGTTTTATAACGAAAGTATGATAGGCGGTAGAGGCTGTAAATGGACGATTAAAAGATTACGGCTTCTTTAACAAAACAGTACAAAATTCGTCGCTAAGGCTTGTCGAAGATCATCTTTCGATAGTCTGTGCTTTCATAAACTGCTATAGAGAACCAATTGCAACGTCGAAACCTGGAGATGTTGGTGTTAGTGGAATAATGCTGTCACTTCTCAACCCAAAAAAATGAACTCCATGCGGTAATAACTACCTACCATTACTTCACTACCAAGAATTGTAAGTTTTTTTAGCTGATACAACAACACAATTTGTCTCAAACTTCTCAATAGGAAAATATTGATGGAACGTCACTCTCTTCGACATACCTATTGTTATCCGAAGAAGAGATAGGAGATATAAGTTTAGGTAACACATCACAAAAGTTCTCTTATTCCACAAAGCCGTATGTGCTATTTGACTATTCTAGGGGTATTTCAGTTGAGACCTGCAAGATCGTATGCCAAAGAGCATTGTTCTTCCATCGAACCGGATACTTATCTTGTCCAAAAGTGCAAAAAATCGCAAACACGATAAGAGTAACAACACTATCAGCACATGCCACACGGAAATCTTACCATGCAGTCATACAATTTAACAAAGACGGGATCACTGGTTAGTATTGCGAATGCCCAATCGGAAGCCGTATTCTTGGGTGCTGTAGTCATGTTGCTTCTGCGTTGGCAGACCAAACCGCGTGTCGAGCCCTCCGGCGATTTTACCCAACTATTTACAGACAGTATTCAAGCTTCAGACTTTTGTCAGGTTTTTGCCGCAAATCAGTCGCCTCACTTTACTTTTTTAACAACGTAATCTTTTTCAAGAGAATCAAAAAAGAGAGCATCACAAAAAAATGTAGATTGAGATGAGAAAATGTTCTATTTCGTGGACTTTTTTCGTTTTTCAGCAGCACAACTTCATAGATGAAAGTTACAAATTTAGACAAGAATAAAATAGAATTTTCGTCGACATTTTTCACACTCCTCTTCTGTTTCCACATTGATTATGTCACTGAATGTTTTATTCATTATTTTCACAAATTAATCTGTAAACAAAATTATAGCGAGCCGAAAAATGAGTACGAGAAACAGTTCTTTCAAGAGTAAGTCTGTAAAAATGCGTTTTCTTCACTCGGTTATTTTCTTTGATGCGCTGCAATGATCCACACAGCACTGATTCATCCCAACCCGACTGTCGAAACTATGCTCACATGAAACTTCGAGTGCAAGTCTTGTCATTAAACTAAATAAGTCCCTATCTAGCTCAAATTAAAAATACACTGGTCGTAAAGGGAGATCTTCTATTCAATTCTGTCTTCTATATTCTTCTACCAATGTGTTGTGCAGTCGAAGCGCCATCGAGTCTACATTATGACCGTCATTTCCAGTTTTTCCTTTGCCTCGACATTACGCTCTGACAACTGAGCGGACATAAATTCTAAAGTGCGTTACAGAGAAAATTTCACCTTTTTTTCAGCTAGAATTTTACCTCTATCTGCAATCACATCATGTAGGATTGACGCTGCAACCAACGCCAATGGAAGACGCATTTCATTTATTTGCGACAACTAAACATCATGTAAACATTATCTTCTCGAATAGGTAAAAGTTTAATAAACATAAGAATGTAACAGCAGTGATAAAATGAAAATAACTGTTATTTCATTCTTATGTTTATGGGCACCATGCATACTTAATTGACGCAAATCACTTCTGCATTCGCTGTCTTCTCTTCTATGCACAGATTTATGTTCTATATAAATGTGAGATAAATTGCATTGTATCTTCCACTCGCTCTAATGAATATGATATATTTAGCTATTTTATCATTGATTGTAGTGGTATCCAGTGTGGATGCGCACTATTTCATGTGTGTATAACGTACATGCGCTACAGTTGAGTATTTTATTCTGTTTGTGATAGAATTTAAAGACTTTGTAGTATTATTCTCGCGCTGCTATGATCCACACAGCACTGATTCATCCCCACCCGACTGTCGAAACTACACTCACGTGAAACTTCGAGCGCAAGTCTTGTCATCAAACTAAATAAGTCCCTATAATCATTACACTCAAGTTAAAAAGGCACTGATCGTAGAGGTAAATCTTCTATTCAATTTTATGTTTTATCGGTTGTATTCAGTTTTAAGATATAGCATAAAAGTACTGTCACCAATTAATTCATGATATCGCAAAGAAAGAAATCTTTGTTTATTGTACATCCACTATTTCTTTTTGTAAAAGAAAAAACTAGATATGTCTGTAGATCTATGGTACGAAGATTTGAGTATGCTAGTAAGTTTTTGTGTTTTAAGAACTTTTATAGTTTTTCTTGTCTTTCTTTGTTTAACCGTTAGATGCGATCTTACCGCGCCAGGTCGAGTGTTTTTTCTTTTTGAATCGATGACCTTTCATGTATTTTAGATGACATCATTTTTATGTTTCCTTGGTGGTCTAATTCTTTTTATCAACGCTTACCATGTTAATTCCTTGGGAGATTTCATCGGAAGCGGCGAACATTCAGACGTTCATCTTGACCGAACTAAACGGCTCACTCCCCAGTCCTCGAAGATTATGCGTTAGAATTGGGTAGAAACTTAGAAGTACGACCAGAAAACATTCATAAAGATAAAACTCTGGTAAAGCTTGTTTTCGACAAATTTAAACAGAAACACGGCCGCCGTTATCAGAACTCAAGTGAAGAAGATCGCCGACGACACGTTTTTAGTCAGGCTTTGGCACATGTTTTAAATGTTAATTCGCAAAACCTGTCACATACGTTGGAATTAAATCATTTATCAGATTTGACTGAACAAGAATTTAATCAGCAGAAAAAGGGTCAGTGGTCCAAGCCTCTTTTTGTACTTGAAATAACGTTCTTTTTTACTTTTTGGTTCTCTTTTTTAGGTTTTATAGCCGACCCTTCTACGCGAAGCCGCCGTCAAGTCATCACGAGATCGATCTTGAAATCGCTGCAAACTGTTGCACCTCCGACTTCATTAGATTGGGTGGTTCAAGGTCGTGTAACTGCAGTAAAGAACCAGCAATGCGGTGACTGTTATGCATTTGCCACCACGGCAGTTATGGAGGGACTAGTGGCAAGCAAAACGGGGAAGTTGTTGAATTTAAGTTCACAAGAAATAACCGATTGTTCACAAAACTATGAAGTGCAATATTTTGGAGAAGGTAAGGCCGGTAAAAACTTTCTTTTGTGAAACTACCAGTCTATAATTCTGAATGAAACGAAGAGTAGAAGAAAAATACTGTAAGCCCCTTTCCAGTTATCCTGCTTCTCCGGCTCCTAATGGGCTTATGAAATGTTCTGCAAACTTCATTGAAAATGCCAAGAAACAAACAAGCTCCCGAGTATAACAGGGCATATTTTATCGTAGCATCAGTTATCCTCTTGGTTTTCATTATTTATTCATTTACAAATAGAATGATTCGTGACTACTTATCGAATAACATTTTAATCTAAACAACAAAAGACAACGAAAAAATGAAACTTTATCTTTTGATGTTAAAAATTAATTCCTACACCTATTATAGTTTACTCGTTTTGGGAAGACTTGATTGTTGTTGCTCGAGGGAATAACGGCTCTTTGGTTCAAAATAGCCGTTTGATAGGTCAGATCGTCCTATAATAGCCTACGCAACTACCAGGTCATAGGTTCCATGATTCGGACGCCACAGGAGCTCCCCGAATGCCTACCTAACAGACCAAGAGAGGTGAA